ATTTTTCAAGATTAAAAAATCTTGGGTTGTACCTAAGTGGCTCTGAGTATGTCTCCAAGGATGGCCTGTTTTCAGCAACCTGTTCCAGCCATGCATCTGAAAGATTAAGCAGAATTAAGTGAATAACCAGTGTAGAAAAGCTCTCAAATCCCTTAAATAAACCCACTTCCCTTTCCAGCATCTGGGGCAGTGGTTCTCAACCTTCTTAATGCCGTGACCCTTTAATACAGTTTCTCATGTGGTGACCCCCAACCATAAAATTATTCTCGTTGCTACTTCATAACTGTCATTTTGCTACTGCTATGAATTGGGCAACCCCTGTGAAAGGGTCATTCCACCCCCCCAAAGCGGTCACCACTCACAGGTTGACAACCACTGATCTGGGAGAATACCAAGTAAGGTGAAGGGCAAGTAATGAAATGTGGCTAAAATAATTGCCTCATAAGGGTGAGCCCCCATTGGCTGAAATTACTCCAGGCAAGGCTTTTACATCAGTAAATTAATCTTCGTCAGCACTGTCAACCTCCACCGCCACCCCTATCCCCCACCATCCCACCCCATTGCTCTTTCTTTTCAAATTAGGGGAAAGAATGGATAGGAAACATTAGACTTTTCCCTAACATTTTTCTTAGCCATATGCAGTTATACGAAGGTTAACTCATCCAAGGCCTTCTGGACCAAAAGGAAGCCACTTGGAGGCATCTTCCTGGGAGCATTCAGTTGAAGGGATGCTGTGCAAAAGAGCTAGAAGACACCTAGAAGTCACTGTGGATGACTTTAGGTTAGCCCTGTGGAAATGGCATACAAATACAGAAAAGCATTTCCTCAACCAGCAGCAACTTCTCGCTTATGGGATCTTTGGTATGCTCCAGACCTTCCTTCTCCACACAGCAAGTGACTGGCATAAAACTGCAAATAAGCATGCTCTAGAAAGTTCTGCTGAAACCAAGTCCATCTCTCGTTACAGATGAAGGGCAAGGGGATATAACAGTGGTTGTTATAATCCCTTATACTTATTAGTAGCATAAAGAACCCTGGTGGTATAGTGGTGAAGGTGCTTAGCTGATAACTAAAAAGTGGGAGTTCAATTCACCAGCTGCTCCATGGGGAAGCTATGGCCGTCTGTTTTCTTTTTTTTTTTTTTAATCATTTTTATTAAGGGCTCATACAACTCTTATCACAATCCATACATACATCAATTGTGTAAAGCACATTTGTACATTCATGGCCCTCATCATTCTCAAAACATTTGCTCTCCACCTAAGCCCCTGGCATCAGCTCCTCATTTTTCCCCTCCCTCATGAACCCTTGATAATTTATAAATTATTATTTTGTCATATCTTACACTGTCCGACATCTCCCTTCACCCACTTTTCTGTTGTCCATCCCCCAGGGAGGAGGTTATATGTAGATCCTTGTAATCAGTTCCCCCTTTCTAACCCTCCCTCCCTCCACCCTTCCGGTATCGCCACTCTCACCACTGGTCCTGAAGGGATCATCTGCCTTGGATTCCCTATGTTTCCAGTTCCTATCTGTACCAGTGTTCATCCTCTGGTCTAGCCAGATTTGTAAGGTAGAATTGGGATCATGATTGGGTGGCGGGGTGGAGAGGAAGCATTTAGGAACTAGAGGAAAGTTGTATGTTTCATCGTTGTTAAACTGCACCCTTACTGGCTCGTCTCCTCCCCACGGCATGACCCTTCCATAAGGGGATGCCCAATTGCCTACAGATAGGCTTTGGGTCTCTACTCCATATTCCCCCTCATTCACAATGATATGATTTTTTTGTTCTGATGATGCCTGATTCCTGATCCCTTCAACACCTTGTGATCGGTGGCCATCTGTTTTTATGAAGATTTTCAGTCTTGGAAACCCTGTGGGTCAGTTCTATTCTGTCTTATAGGGCCACTATGAGTCCTAAACGACTTAACAGAAGTGAGTTAAGATTATTAGCAATAAACTATAGTGGTTTATGTCATTGTTTATGTTTATTATTAGCAATAAACTATAATTTTAACTTACAAAAATTATGAAGGATGATATATATGTATATAGAGAGATTTTAATTTTATTCACAAATTTGAAACAGCTAAAAGAAAGTAAAAGTTTATAAAATTACCTATATCCTCAAAATTCTTTTTTGGGCTCTCTTTGCAGACACTGCCACTTAAATTTGTAGTCTTGTCTGGTCCTGTTATGTCCAGCCATGCCAACCCCACTGTATAGTTCAACGTAGCCATCAATGACGTCACACACCACAATGGCACTGGCCGCAAGTCCATCCATGGAGAGAAAGTTGAGAATAAGAACTTCATCCTGGAGCACACAGGTCCTGGCATCCTGTCCAGGGCACATGCTGGGCCCAATACGACGGTTCCCAGTGTTTTATCTGCCCACTCAGATGGAGTGGTTGATGGCATGCACGTGGTCTTTGGTCAGGTGGAAGAAGGCATGGACACTGTGGAAGCCATGGGGCATTTGGGGTCAGGAATGGCAAGACCAGCAAAAAGATCACCAGTGCTGACTGTGGACCATCCTAATACATTTGATCTGTAGTTCATGTTTTATCCTAAGCACCAGACCGTTCCTTGTGCAGCTCGGGAAACCACCCCTCTATTCGCAATGTGCTTGCAGGCTCGGTTACTCCTGGTGTTCTCACTCCAGCTCTTTGGGTTTCCTCCTTTCCTTGTTGCCCCTAAGTCCAGCTGGCAAGCAGAGTTAAGTGTATGATGATGAAATATAAGTTAAACATTAAAAATATATATATATATTGGGGGAGGGGGTCAACATTATTACATATAGACATCATATTCCGTTTGGGGAGGGTTATTATAAGAGCCCTGATGACATAGTGGATTGCTTGTTGGGCGGCTAAAGGCAGTCAGCAGTTCAAATCCACCCGCTGCGCCAAAGAAGAAAGAGGGGACGCTCAGCTCCTTTAAAGAGTCGCAGGCTCAGAAACCCAAAAGGGGCAACTTCAACTCTGACTCATAGAGACAATAAAAAGTTTTTAAAAACAAGAATACTGACTTTGCCTATAATTTAAAAAAACTCACTTAACTTTGTGTGTGTGTGAGAGAGAGAGAATTGGATGATCGGATGAAGGTTTCAAGAGCAGGTCAGTTTTCATTCAACAATTCATACAGCTTTCATCTCATTGATTGCAATCCCATAGGATAACATCACTTGTTCCACTTCCTCCCTGTGGTTCCTGTTTCTTTCTTTTTTAAATCATTTTATTGATGGCTCGTACAACTCTTATCATAATCCATACACACATCCATTGTGTCAAGCATATTTGTACATTTGTTGCCATCATCATTCTTAAAATATTTTCTTTCTATTTGAGCCCTTGGTATCAGCTCCTCATTTTCCCTCCCTCACCCACCCTCCCTAATGAACCCTTGATAATTTACACATTATTAATATTTTATCATATCTTACACTGTCTGGCGTCTCCCTGCACCCACTTTTCTGTTGTCCATCCCCCAGGGAGGGGGTTTTATGTAGATCATTGTGATAGGTTCCCCCTTTTTCCCCACCTTCCCCTCCCCCTCCTGGTATCTCTACTCTCATTATTGGTCCTGAGGGATGTTTCCTGATTCTATTCTTCCCTCTTTCCTAACCTTTCTGAACTTTGGCCTTGGAAAAATGCTGCCCCTTTGATCACAAATGGTTGATTATGTTAAGGAGTGTTATTCCCGTATAGACCTATCTATTGTTTGCTTGAATTTTGGGCCATTTTCTGGCTGAGTTCATTTTCAGACCTGAAGGGTGACTAAGTGTCTTCACAACTCTTACAAAACTATACTTAAAAAAGAAAAAGCCACTGTGACAGATTGATATGCTCAGACTAGTAAGGCAGAAGCAGTGGCAAAGAGAGTTAGTGGGTGATCAGTCTCATTCTAAACCTGAAGCAGGCTTGTCAGAAAGCGAAAAGGCAAAATGAATAATAAAATGAAAGCATCTTAAGAATTAGTAAAAATCTGACCTTGGGTTTTGGAGACAACTTAAAAATATATATCTTTGTAGCTATATCCTCCACTTTTAGTGCAAACTTCCAAAAGATATCCTGACATTAAAAAAATTATGAGATAAAGCATGAGATGAAAGGTCTGGTTTATGACTTGGATCCCAAAATCATAAAGTGCCCAGCAAGTCTGTCGTCCTACTATAGCAATTCTGTATTTGACAGAACCAAGAACAAATGGTTGTTTTACATGAGCTGCAAGAACTGTTTGCACTTAGTGATTAGAGTCCTGGGAAAACAAGGGCAATCTAAGATGGGCTAGTTTCCATCAGATAAAATTAATGGCTCTCAACTAAAAACTGATGTGCACTACATTGTGGGAACTGCCGCCAATGTCACCAAACAAAATGTAAATTTCACTCAAATCTCTCTCTCTCTCTCTCTCTCTCATACACACACACACTCACACACAAGCTGATGTGCAAACGAGGCATGAAAATCACTCTAATTTTTTTTTATAATATAAGAGAATTCTATGTACAACTCCATTTTATTCACTTTTAAAATCTTGGTGAATCACTCTAATTTTAAACACTCAGACTGAGTATTTGAAAAAGGAATCCTGTTTCTATACGCATACATTCTGACTCAGAGAGAGCCTACAGGACAGAGGAGAACTGCTCCAGAGCGTTTCCAAAGTCGAAATCTTTACAAAGGTAATGAACTGCCACATCTCTCTCCCTAGGAGTGGTTGGTGGTTTTGAACTACTGACCTTTCAGTTAGCAGTAACAATCAGTATCACAGGACTCCTTTTTGGTACTATAGCAAAAACAAACACAAAAATCTCACTGCTATCAAAGGAATTCAGACTCATAGCAAACCTTATATAGGGTTTTAGGCACTATAATCATTCCAAGCAGACCCCCATCTCTTGCCCCCAAAGTGGCTTGTGGATTTGTACCCACAACCTTGCAGCTAGCAATCTAATACCTACCCACAGCACCTCCTGGACTCCTTTTCTTCACACTATAAGTAGAACTTATCTCAGAAGATTCCCATATATTTTATTCTACATGGGTTTATTCTTAAAATTGGCAGAAATATAGAGTGGTTTGTTTTTTTTAATTCCCATGGTGGTGGTTTACCGAAGGGTTTAGAAACATCTACTATTTAGAGATGCGGGCTAAACCAATAGTGTACACCTCTGCTACAATGTAATGCACCTTTAGCTCCTACTTCGTGGCCAGACCAGCAGGTTCTAAGCCTATCTGAATCTGTAGCCCCCCATCAAAAGGGATTTTATAACAGAGTAATTTAACCACAGTAAAATGGGACTGAAGACCAAAATCCTCTGGAAATAGCAGCTTCTGATCTGGGGGTATCCATGGAAAATAAGTTGTGTCAGGGCATAGGCCATTTAAAAGGAATAAGGAGCTATGATGTGGTGAATTACTTGATATGGTTCTTCTATCCATAGTGTTTGTAACTTCCACCAAAGAACTTTTTCCTGCTGGGTCTGAGTAGGTGGGAGAAGATGCTGATAGGACTATATGCTTCGGTTATGATTGTTAACAGAGCTAATTGTTATTTTTAAAACTTGGAACTCTGATGTGGGGATTGATCAAATTTACCATCAAGCTGGATATAAAAGGAGCCCTGCTGGCATTGTCAGATAAGTGTTGGCCTGCTAACCACAAGGTCATTGGTTCAAACCTACCAGCCACTCCACAGTAGAAAGATGATGCTATTTGCTCATGTAAAGATTTACAGTCTCAGAAACAGCATACGGTTTTTATATACATACATGAGTCAGAATTGACTCAGTGTAGTTGGTTTGGTTTTTGGTGTGTTGTTCTTGTTAAGTACCATCAAGTCACGTATGACTCACAGTGACTCTTTGAACAACATAAAGAAGCACTACCCAGTGCTGAGTAGTGGACTCAGAACTACTTATAACTGTAATAATCCTCACAATTATTTCTATGCTTGAGCCCATTGTTATAGCCACTGTGCCAATCCATCTCCTTTAGGGCCTTCCTCTTTTGTGCTGCCCCTCTACTTTACCAAACATGGTGTCCTTCTCCAGGGACGGTCTCTCCTGACAATATGCCAAAATACCAGTGACATAACTTCCAGCATCGCAGCAACACCAAAGTCACCACAATACAACAAAATGACAAAAGTGGTGGGGTTGTTTGCTTGTTTGTTTTGCTTAGCTGAGTATAAAAGAAGCCAGAGCTCAGCTGCAGAAGGAGAGACTTGACTGTAATCAAGAATGAAGAGGAGTACTGGGGAGGTCCCAATACCCTGAAGTTCCTGGCAGGGAGAAATTCAGCTCAAAAGCTAAATAGACCCAAGGTTCTTAAAGTGGGAGAATAGCAATCCCCCTAACAGACTGCTGACCCAGTGGCACAAGCTGCTTCTGTGAGCCCCACTCCTCCCCAGAACAGCTGATGTTTCCCAGCCCCTGAGGCAACCCAGTCAGTCAAACCTCTTACCTAGCTGGGCCCTGGGCGCCCTGTGTGGATAGCAGACCTCACAACAGGTTGGTGCAGACATTCTCTGTCCTCAAGCTATATTTTTGTCATTTTTTCTTCCTCCTTTCTTTCTGCCTTCTTCTCTAGCACCATTCAGTTCCCATGTGTGCATCCTCCCCCATGCAGTACACCTATGCCCACAATAACACATTAGCAATCCCCACCCACACGGGTTGGTTTGTTTATTACCTTATTTTATTTACCGTATATACTCAAGTATAAGCCAACCCGAATATCAGCCAAGGCACCTAATTTTACCACAGAAACTGCATTTAAAAATGTGCTGAAAACTCGGCGTACACATGAGTATACATGGTAATTTGATTTTGGTACATTTGCTCTATTATAATACTTTTATTATTTTATTCTAATCTCTCTCTCTTCCTCTTCTGGTTTGGCCCCACATTCCTGAGAACAGGCATTTCACCAAGGCAAAAACAGGCAACCGAGAACCCTATGTCCTGCAAAATTATCCCTCAAAAATGAGAGAGAAAAAGATATTTCCAGACTAGGAAAAGTTAAATGAATTTGTAAGGACCAGCATTACTGAAAAATGTTTACCAAATCACTATGGGAAGAAATTCAATAACAGCAGACAAACCTGAGAGTATCATACAGCATAACACCACCCAGAAACCAAAACAATGAAAACTGCACTCAAAACAGCACAAAAATAAAGGAGGATGAAGACACAAATAGAACCACAGAAAGGGGAGGGGGCAAACATAAACAGAAAAATGATAGCAACAAACCAGCAAATATCAATAATGACATTGAATGTCAATAGATTAAATGCACCAATCAAAAGATAAGTAGTAGCACACTGGATTAGAAAACAAGATCCATCTATATGCTGCCTACACATCTTAAAGACAGAAATAGACTAAAAAAGAATGTCAAAAAATCTACCACGCCAATCGCAACCATAAAAAGTCAGGAGTAGCAATATTCATCTCTGATAAAATAGGCTTCAAGATGAATAACATAATGAGAGACAAGAGTGGACACTACATAATGATTAAAGGAACAACACGAGGATTGTGAGCATGCTGCTGGACTGGGCAGTGTTTCATTGTTCATAAAGTTTCTATGGATCAGAACTGACTCAATGGCATCTCACAACAACACCAGGAATATATAATCTTAATAAACATATTTGTACCCAATAATAGGCCCTCAAAATACATCACTCAATTTCTCAGAGTTGAAAACAGAAATAACTTGATAATAATAGTAGGAGACTTCAACACACCACTCTCAAGAAAAGACAGACCATCA